TCGGACAGGCGACGAGGTCCTGCACCTTGGATCGAGAAGCAGGGGCAGAGCCCCGGCTCCACCTCACGATATAAGTAAAATAATGTTAAAAGTAGTGGTATTTCACTTGCGTCGTAAGGCTCCCACTTATTCTACACCTCTTTAGTCATTTGACAGAGTCGAACTAGAGTCAAGCTCAACAAGGTCTTCTTTCCCCGCCGATTCTTCCAAGCCCGTTCCCTTGGCTGTGGTTTCGCAGGATGGTAGATAGGGACAGTGGGAATCTCATCAATCCATTCATGCGCGACACTAATTAGATGACGAGGCATTTGGCTACCTTAGGAGAGTCATAGCTACTCCCGCCGTTTACCCCGGAGGGGTTGAATCTCTTCACTTTGACATTCATAGCATTGGGCAGAAATCATATTGCGTCAACATCCGTTGGGACCATCGCAATGCTTTGTTTTAATTAAACAGTCGGATTCCCCTTGTCCGCACCAGTTCTGAGTCGGCAGTTTGATGCTTAGGGAGAGTCCCACGGCCCCACCYGAAAGGTGGGGACATAAGACATTCTGCGCCCGTCGGCACATTGGCACGCGGGTTCCGCCCTCGCCCAAGAGCAGCTCGGGCAGACCACCGGCAGCCAACGACATCGAGGYGCAGACCCCTAGGCCCAGCCGTCAAAGCCAATCCTTTTCCCAAGGTTACGGATCCATATTGCCGACTTCCCTTACCTACATTCTTCCTTTGACCAGAGGCTGCTCACCTAGGAGACCTGATGCGATTATGAGTACGGCCGGGCGTGAGAGGTACCCGCAACTCCAGATTTTCAAGGGCCGTTGGGGGAGCGCGCTAGACACCACAGGACGCGCGGTGCTTTGCCAGGCGCTGCACCCTATCTCCAGTTGATCCGATTCCAGGGTGGGCGAGCCGTCAAGAAGGAAAGAGAACCCTCCCCACGGCCCCCCGCCAGCATCTCCGGATCTGCTTACGTTACTGTCCACCTCCACAACCCGGTTCGGGAATATTAACCCGACCCCCTTTCGATGTGGGGCGCGCAGTGCACCCTTGATACAAGGTTTCCTCATCTCTTAGGGCCGACTGACCCATGTCCAAGCGCTGTTCAAATGGAACCCTTCTTCACTTCGGTCTTCAAAGTTCTCATTTGAATRTTTGCTACTACCACCAAGATCTGCACCGGGACCCGCTTCACCTAGGCTCACGCTMCAGGCTTCGCAGCAGGCCCCGCGCCCTCCTACTCGTCTCGACGTCAGAATCGCCGCGACGACCGAGCATAGGTCGCGTGCTTCAGCGCCATCCATTTTCGAGGCTGATTGATTCGGCAGGTGAGTTGTTACACACTCCTTAGCGGATTTCGACTTCCATGACCACCGTCCTGCTGTCTGTATCAATCAACACCCTTTGTGGTGTCTGGGTTAGCGYGCAGTTTGGCACCGTAGCTCGTTTTTTGGTTCATCCCTCATTGCTAGTTCTGCTTACCAAAAATGGCCCACTTGGAGCTTTCATTGATCCTCGGGGTTCGCTTAAGCAACCCCGAAATCTTACCTATTTAAAGTTTGAGAATAGGTCRAGGGTGTTTCACCCCCGAGGCCTCTAATCATTCGCTTGACCCGATAAAACTGTTCAACAGCTCCGGCTATCCTGAGGGAAACTTCGGAGGAAAACAGCTACTAGACGGTTCGATAAGTCTTTCGCCCCTCCCAAGTCCAACGAACGCTTTGCACGTCAATATCGCTGCGAGACTCCACCAAAATTTCCTCTGGCCTCGCCCTGCTCAGGCATAGTTCACCATCTTTCGGGTCCCAACAGGCATGCTCACTCTCAAACCTCTCACAACAGATCGTGGTTGGCGGACGGTGCACCCGGAGAGGGTTCCCGCCACTCAGGTTTCTTCCGCCTCGTGGGCTAATCACCCACCGGCTCGCATGCACGTTGAACTCCTCGGTCTGAGTTTCAAGACGGGCAGGATAAAGGAATTTCGCCAGCATCCCGAACAGGCCCGCCGAAAGAGGCGCGTGCTCAAGGTCCTCGACTGCCGTGACGGCCACCCGTGGGGGTTTCAATTTCTCCCCACCACAATGCCGGTCACAGCAGCCCATGCTGGCAGGCACCCCACGTCCAACAAGGGGGGTGACAACACAGTCGCCGTCCACCCCTGCCAAGCGCACGACTTCCCCTCCATCCGCTTCTCGCTCGACAATTGCAAGCACTCTTTAACTCTCTTTTCAAAGTTCTTTYCATCCTTCCCTCGCGGTACTTCTTCAGTATCGGTCCCGCACACATATTTAGCCTTGGATGGGACTTACCACCCAATTGGGGCTGCATTCCCAAGCAACCCGACTCTTGGACAACACCTCGTTGCGCATCAGGGTCCGGCGGACGACGGGGCTGTCACCCTCTTCGGCGTCCCCTTCCAGGGAACCTGCACACGGCCCGCTGCAGAGGTTCCCTCTCAAGAGTCAAGACTACAATTCAGGGAGCAACAGAGCCCCCGGATTTTCAGTCTTGGTTATTCCCGGTTCGCTTGCCGCTACCACGGGGATCCTCGTTGGTTTCTCTTCCTCCGCTTAGTTATATGCTTAAATTGGGCGGGTGCTCCCGCCCGACCTGAGATCAAAAGGCAAGGCCCGACGTACCTCCACAGCTCGAGGCCRACACCCCCAACCGCAAGCCCACCTCAAGCCGATGGGAGCGAACGGAAGGCGGCGACCACAAAAACCAGAGGGATGATCTTATGTGCCGTTTTCAGGGAAACAAAGACCACCACCCACAAACGGGTGCTAGAGGGCAACAACAGGGCGGAGCGAAACGCACCACTCTGGGCTGCGGCCCCCACAGGCCCGCTCGGAATGCTTTCCAATTCCCTTACACTTTAGGCTATCGACGTTCTCCAAGTGGGAAGTGAGGGAAGGCACGACCACAGACCCCACAACTCTCCGAAACGGAAGGTGCTGTGGTCGCTAGGAATCCAATGATGATCGTGCCCTCGGCAGAAGCCTTGGGCGCCACGTGTGTTCAAGGTATCGATGGCTCACGGATTTCTGCAATTCACATTCAGTATCGCATTTCGCTGTGCTCTTCATCGTTGCGAGGCCCAAGATATTCGTTTACCGAGAGTTCTACAATATAGTGTCGTTCCGATAGGACCGACCCCTCAACCAGAACAGAAGGGGGCCGTCAACCCGGACAGCGACAAATCAGAGCAGGTACATCAATAAGAAGTTGCAAAGCCATCACCACCGCCCGCTGCCACGGGCCCGTCCGACCCCGCGTTCGGGGGGCAAGGCAGGGCACCGGGGAGCAGCGGGGCAACGAGGGTGCAAGCGCTGTCTCCTCCCCCCGCCCCCAACCCGACACCACCCCGTTCACGACCAAAACCCTCCCCCAACGACCCTCCACCTCGAGATTCAGACCACCTCGACTGTGTCGAGGACGCCGGTCTGTCCGGAAAGGAGAACCCCGTTGGGAAGGAAGCCCGGACGAAACGGGAAGGGGCCGAGGACCCCGCAACACACCCCGCCCCTAGCCTCTACCACGACCCTCAATCCCCAAACAAGCCACAAGCTCCGCACGAAGCCGAGGTTGAGGCCGGGATGGAAAGGAGGTCTCGACAAAGCTGAGGCGGGAAGGAGCGGGGGTACGCAGGTCGAGGACAGCCGCCACCACCCGACATCCCGCCCCTGACCCTCGCGCAGGGTTGTCCGTGCCCGGACCAACCGCCATCCCGACCAGAAGTCGAGAGTGGGGYTGGGCCGAGGTAACAACCTGTGGAGGCGAGACGGGATGAAGGGGGAGCAACGCCACAAGGCCGCGGACCCTGCCCACTCCCCCCAACCTTGACCTACACCACGCACCCCTCTGCGCCGGGCCAGCCGCCAGCTGGGCACTAAGCCCAAGGTGGTGCTGAAACGGAAGAGAAAAGCGGATGCAGGGAGGATGGGGGCAAAGGGCGGCGGAAGGGYGAGCAAGCCAGCGTCCCACACCCCGAAGATCGGCCGTTCACGTGTCAATGATCCTTCCGCAGGTTCACCTACGGAAACCTTGTTACGACTTCTCGTTCCTCTAAATGATCAGGTTCAATGAACTTCTCACAGCACCCCCCGCAGCAAACCGTTGAGATCACCGCAATCCAAACACTTCACCGGACCATTCAATCGGTAGGAGCGACAGGGGGTGTGTACAAAGGGCAGGGACGTAATCAGCGCGAGCTGATGACTCGCGCTTACTAGGCATTCCTCGTTCAAGATCGATAATTACAACATTCTATCCCCGTCACGATGAACCTTAAGAAGGTTACCTGGGCCTTTTGACCCAGGCACACGACTCGTTAGATTCATCAGTGTAGCGCGCGCGGCCCAGAACATCTAAGGGCATCACAGACCTGTTATTGCSTCAAACTTCCGTTGGCTAGTCGTCCAACAGTCCCTCTAAGAAGCTGGCCACGAAGAAAGGTCCCCGTGTAGCTATTTAGCAGGCTGAGGTCTCGTTCGTTAACGGAATTAACCAGACAAATCACTCCACCAACTAAGAACGGCCATGCACCACCAGGGGTCCACCACCCATAGAATCAAGAAAGAGCTCTCAATCTGTCAATCTTTGCTATGTCTCGACCTGGTGAATTTCCCCGTGTTGAGTCCAATTAAGCCGCAGGCTCCACGCCTGGTGGTGCCCTTCCGTCAATTCCTTCAAGTTTCAGCCTTGCGAGCATACTCCCCCCGGAACCCGTAAACTTTGATTTCTCACAAGGTGCTGGCAGAGTCATCCAATAGACATCCGCCAATCCCTAGTCGGCATCGTTTATGGTTGAGACTARGACGGTATCTGATCGTCTTCGATCCCCCAACTTTCATTCTTGATTAATGAGAACGTCCTTGACAAATGCTTTTGCAGACGTTCGTCATCCATAAATCCAAGAATTTCACCTCTGACAATGGAATACGAATGCKCCMAACYGTCTCTATTAATCATKACTCCAATCCCGAAGACCAACGAAATAGGACCAGAGTCCTATGATCGCGTTATTCCATGCTAATATGTTCAGAGCACAGGCCTGCTTTGAACACTCTAATTTTTTCAAAGTAACAGCGCCGGCTCTGGATCCCAGCCAATAAAGGCAAGGAACGCATACCCGACAAGAAAGGCGAAAGGGCCGGTACACGCCCGCAAGAGCGGACCAACCCCTCCCACCCAAAATCCAACTACGAGCTTTTTAACTGCAACAACTTAAATATACGCTATTGGAGCTGGAATTACCGCGGCTGCTGGCACCAGACTTGCCCTCCAATGGATCCTCATTCAAGGAGTTGACGACTGTTCTCATTCCAATTACGGGACTCGAAAGAGCCCAGTATTGTTATTTATTGTCACTACCTCCCTATGTCAGGATTGGGTAATTTACGCGCATGCTGCCTTCCTTGGATGTGGTAGCCATCTCTCATGCTCGCTCTCCGGAATCGAACCCTAATTCTCCGTCACCCGTTACCACCATGGTAGGCCTCTATCCTACCATCGAAAGTTGATAGGGCAGAAATTTGAATGGAACATCGCCGGCTCAAAGGCCATGCGATTCGACAAGTCACCATGATTCGCCGCAACAACGGGCAAGCCCGGATCGGCCTTTTATCCAATAAATACATCCCTTCCAGAAGTCGGGATATGCTGCACGTATTAGCTCTAGAATTACCACGGTTATCCGAGTGGTAAGGAGACCAAATAAATGATAACTGATTTATTGGGCCATTCGCAGTTTCTTTTTTTTTTTTTTACACACACACACACATGCCCCATCTATTCTGGGGGGCGTCAGTCCGGTTGCTTATCACCGGCAAGCAGATACAGCAAAAGACCGAAAAAGACAGACAGGACAGACAGAAGGTGGTTTTTGGGAGGTCTCGGGTCTGGTCGGCGCCAGGCCCGCATGCGACAGTTTGCGGATCTGTCGGACTCGAGACTCTCTCTTTTCTGGGAAGAAGTGGCCGGGAGGCATGACGCACCCAATCGCCCTTTCTTCCTAGAAGAGAGGGGGCCCCGCTGGGGCAGACCCACTCCCCTCGCTCCCTCCGTAGAAGACATATTCCTATGTGTCATTCCCCGTATCCAATATCCCTGTCCCATTTCCAGACACCCCTCATTCTTGTACCCAATATCCCTGTCCCATTCCCAAACACCCCTTAATCTATGGAATTGTTGTGTCCCTTTGCCTCACCACTACGTCGTATTTCCCCTGGCACCCCTCTGTGTCTCATTTCCCCTAGCTGATTATGTACTCTCAGTCAGAGCGCCGCTGCCTACAGCTCATCCTTGAATTACCTGAGTTCCCTGAATTGGTCTCAGAGCCCACTGCCTACAGTTCATCCTTGGGTTTCCCGAATTCCCTGATATGGTTACAACCTGTGAATACTAGTTATTTCTTAAAGGTCAGGGCATTAGACTATTCCCCGAGCCTTCCCCGTCCTATTTCAACCCTACTCTTCCCCTGTGTCCGGGCTGTATGCTTGCCCCCTGAGTCTTTCACCTTGGCTTTGCCCTACCCTTCCCCTGAGCTTTTCCTTTTGGCTTTGCCCCAGCCATTTTCCTATTTCTACATCAATCTTGCATCCTGTGTGTATGCCCAGACCTGCTGTTTCTAATCTAATCCCTCTTTCTTCATTCGTCTTCCCCTAGCTGTTCCGTTTGTTCTCCCATTCACATAAGCCCTTCCCATTGCCATTCCCCGGGGTTCTCCCCAGTCGCGAGGAAGTCCGGGAATGGTTTCCAAACCGCCGCAAAAGTTTTCCAACCGCCAGATCTTCGTTTCCGCACATCCGCGGACACCGCCGTCTTGATGTTCTTGATTGTCCAGGCCCTAAGAGTTCGGAACGAGGCGGGGATACCCGTCATCAGTTGGTGATTCCACATTGCCCACAGTGCTCCCCAGAAAGCCACCCTCACTGTGTCTGTCGCATAGGCGTCTTCCACCTTTTTCGCCGTCCCTGCAAGCGCCTCTCCCAGCAGCACCTCCGTGTCATGTTTTTCCTTGTCGGGTCGCAGCGGGACCCGCCCACCGTTCTTGCCCCACCACTGCCAGAACTCCTGCGGTCCGCAGCCCATCCATAGATGTGGTAGTGTCTCCTCCGCGTCTGCACAGACCTTGCATCGTGAATCATCCGCCTCGCTATGTGTTGTCATCCATTGAAAAGTAGGCACAACAAGTTGCAGGTTTAATCACAGTGCCCCCGCGTGGTGCTGTTCCGGCGGCTGTCTGAGCACTGTGTTGGTCAGTGTCCATGTCTGTGAGTTCCAGTCCCGGAGATCATTCTGGCCGAACCAGCCCCTTTTCTTCCATCTGTCCCTCATTTCCCCCGCCATGTCCACCAGCACATTCAGGGTTCTATAGATAATCTTTGTTGTGACCTGATGCGGATTCACTGACTTACGCTGCGAGTTCCGCGGGGCCCATTCCCAACTAGAGGGGTCCCACGGCAGCTGCAGAGGGTGACTTTCTTGCTTGAAAGGTCTGAATATCTGCAGGTCGTCTTGTCTGCGACCTTTGAGGACGACCACAGGTCGTATATTGTGCTTGTGCAACAATCCGTCCTTGTTTGCATCTCTAGTCATGGGCTCTCCGACAGCTCTCTCCGATGGAGTTACACGCCACGCCTCCACGTAGTACCACTCATTGTTCCTGTGTTGTTGGAGGCAGAACAGCACCTCAGGTGGGTTCTCCGTTTTAAGTGCCACCCTGTTACATACTTCAATGAGTATGGGCAGAACCAAAGATCAACCAATGTAGGATGAGCATATATGCAGCGGAAGTCTGATAAACGGACTGACTCACATAGCATCACTCCACACACATACAATCGTGAGGTCGTGGGGTCTGAGCCATACATAGAAGATGCTCAGCCCCGTACACACATACACAGATGAATGGGGGAGGAGAGACGAAGTGGTGGGGGGAGGTAGACAGCACCGAAAGTCACCGAGATAGAATCTGATAGGTCACCGATATGGTAGTCCAAAATGTCATCCAACAAGATCAAAATGTCGAGGACCATAGGTCACCAATGTCGGGGATACAGAGTCCAAATGTAACCGGTGTCTGAACGGTGATGTCGCCAAGTATCAACCCCAACGATCTCCAAGTCTCCAATCCGGTAAGTACCACAGTCTCATACCACCAAAGTCCAACACTGATCTCGGTCCAACTAGTATAAGTCTCCAATCTGAAGAAGAAGAAGAAGAAGAAGAAGAAGAAGGAGAAGGAGAAGAAGAAGAAGAAGAAGAAGAAGAAGAAGAAGGAGAAGAAGAAGAAGAAGGAGCCGAGGAGGAGAGAGAGAGAGAGGGGACTGGCGATGGGAGGGAGGAGAGAAGCCTCCAACTCCCAATACCTCAGGCGGCTATGGCCGCCGGTAACCCAGTCGCCGCTGCTGCTGCTCCGCTCGCTGCTGCTGCGCTAATCTGCGCTGAGCCGTTCCTCGCTGCTCCTGCGCTAATCTTAGCGCCAGCGCTGTATCGCGCTGTACCATACCGTACCGGTAGAATGCCGGTAGGCCGATGCCTCGAAGTGAGGCCGGACCAGTACTAAGTACTGGTTCGAAGAGGACYGGCCTCACTGCKGCGAGGCCTTGGTTGGGGCTGAACYGTCCAGATCGACGATTCAGGTCCAACCGGAGAGCGGCAGCCTCAAACGGCGCCGTCAGGCCCAAAGACGAAATGTCATTTGGGCSTGGTCCGTAGTCGGGTCCAAGTCATGGCCTTTCGGCCTGGTATCCCCCAAGGTCGGGCCTTTAGGCCCTGATGTGTCCCTCTAGCCCTAAGTCGGGTCCGGTAGGACCCGTGTGGCATCGAAGATGTAACACACTGCCCCTCTTAAAAGACCGAGCTACTTGCGAGGGCGGAGTTGTCTGTACGATACCGGGATGGGTCGGGTGGGACGAGCTGCGTCCTTAGCAAGGCGTCGCTTCCCATAGTCGGTGAAGATAAGGGGTGCAGAAGTCTGCAAATCTGTACTGGAGATCCACCGAGTGTCRTCAGGCGCACATTGCTTGAATGTGACTTTGTACTGCATTGGCTTGTTGCCATACTTGCGGTGCGTGATGACTCGGTCCACTTCCTGATGTCCGTCCATGGAGGGTGGATCATGTGATCGACGTCCGGGAAACTCGTCATTTGAAGGTGGCATGTAGATGGCCAGCTTCGATGCGTGGAAGACCCGATGCACTATCAGGTGCGGTGGAATGTTGATCACGAAGGAAGGACCTGCGGGATTGTCTCCAACGGCAGAAGTGACTTCCCATGGTCCGAACCATTTCGGAAGGAGTTTGCGCGAAACATCCTGCTCGAGCGCAAATTCCTCGGAGAGGACCCAAACAAGGTCTCCCTCCCGGAAAGGACATGGAAGTCGACGTCGGTTAGCCTGCTGCTGCATGCGGATCTGAGCCTTTTGCATATTTGCGCGGGCTTTGATTAGCAAGTCCCGGTACTTCCGGATGGAAGCGGGAGAGCAAGGGACGTCTACGTCGGCAGCCTGTGGCAAAAGGAGATCAGCGAAGATCCGTGCTTTCTCTCCACCATGATGTAACTTGAATGGTGTGACGCAGATCGTCGGGTGCACCGGTGTTATAGGCGAACTCGATGTCGGGAAGCCGGTCAACCCAATTTTTCTGGTCGGGACGGATGAGCGTACGCAACATCATCTGAGCGGTCTGGTGCGCTCGTTCCGTCTGACCATCCGTCTGCGGGTGCCGAGTCGAGCTCGGTTTCATTGTCGTACCGGACTCAGCCATGAGGGAAGTCCAAAAGGCTGACATGAAACGAGTATCTCGGTCGCTCACTATGTCTTCCGGAACACCTTGGTTGGTAATCCAACCGGTGTGCAAGAGCCGTGCGAGCTCAGGCGCTACAGCATGATACTTGCAAGAAAGGAAGCGAGCGTACTAGCTCAAACGGTCAACGACCGTGAGAATACCGTCATGGCCGTGGAGATCGCGGGGAAACGGGCTTATCACATCCATAGCAATGGAGAGGCGTGGTGCCCGAGGGATCGGCAACGGTTTCAGTTCGCCGAAGGGGACTCGAGATCGACCCTTGTTTCGGTGGCAAACTGCACATGACTCAATGTACCTCATGACGTCATGAAGAACGCCGGGCCAGTGAAAATGCTGGCGGAGGTGTGCTAGTGTGCGGTTCACGCCAAGGTGTGCCGAAAGTCGTGCGTCGTGGAATTCGCCGAGAAGACGAGTTCGTAAGATGCGATCTTGGGGCACAACTAACAAGTCCTTTCCTCTCRTGTGAAGGAGAAGGAACCCGTCGGAAATCCGATAGTGGCTAGCCGGCGGGTGATCCGATGAAAGCTCCGTGTAAAGCTTAGAGTAAGTCGGATCGGACTTGTAGCCTTTGACGAAATGCGGCTGCAGATCGTCATCGAGGTCGAATGTCGTGGACCGTGGTCACAATGGCACAAAAGTCGGACCGTCGTGAGAGGGCGTCCGCAGCTCGATTGGCGGGACCGGGAATGTGGCACAGGTCAAAATCGAACTGGTCGATGTAATACATCCATCGACCGATCGTGCTAGTGACCGTGTCTTGCGTTTTATAAAAGGTCAACGGATTGTTGTCCGTATTCCATTT